AGGTTTTCCAACACAGATGAACTACATTTTAAAATGTATTAAAATAGAAAAGTTATTTTAAATGGTATTAAGATTTCAAAACATTACTGTTTTTACTGTAGTTTTGATTTTTATTATTTTTTTTAATTATCAAGCTTTAGTACATTGTGTCTGTATCATGAATGTAAGAGTGGATGGCTTCATGGATAGGCTGTGAAACCATTTCTCTTTCTCAATCTAAAATTATTTTTCTTGTTCTTTAATGTTACAAATTATTAGCACATTTCAGTTTTGGGACATAAATGGTTTCTCTGCTGAATCGTTAAATAAATATTCATGATTGCCAATATCTCTATTTCTTTGGCCTTTTTCTATGCTCCCATGTGTTTTAATACTGAGGTTTCATAACAGTAATGTGTTGACTTAAAATACATCAACTGAAGGTAATCATTGTTAAATACAAAGCCTATAAGACTGAGCCAACCATAAACTCACATATTATTTCCAAATAAACTAAATAGCCACTAAGACAATTGAGGCGATATGCATCACTGCTGCAATTAAACTCCTAACTGGCAGTTTCATTTGGACAACATCAATGTGAAAACAGTTTTGAAAGATCTTTTAGTATGTCCTCTGTCCCAATGCAGACCAACCCCTCTTACAAAACTGTCTCAGTTTGCTTTATAAATATAATAAGAATCAATGCTGAAAAAAATCTAATTCCATAAATAATTACAAACTGGCAACACAGTAATAATAATAATAAATAGACTTTATGAACTTAGTTAAGACTTTATGAACCTATAAGTGGAAAACACAATGCGTCACCATCTTCTGAACTATCTGTGAGTTCGAGTTCACACGGTTTATCAAGGACATAACATCCTGCCAGTGTGTATTTGAACTGATCAGCACTGATGGGCCAACAAGCTGCTATTTCTCTGATCTGATCTGATTCCCCTCAGCAAGCCAATATCATGTGATCTAACTTGGATGCAGTACACAACATTCAGATCTGACTCAACAGCGACCCCAATCAACTTATGAGCAATCACACACACACCACTGAGGCTATAATGATCAGCAGCAATAAATCTTTAATTTATAATCCATTACGCACAGTTTAATGTTCAGTGCTGATGCTTCAGCTGATTATCCTTATTTATATATCTCAATTCAGGCAATAACACAAAATGAAATGAAATAAAATGAAATAAAATAGATAGATAAATCCATAGCACAGCTATGTATAAAATTGGTCGCCAGGTGTAACGGTCATAGTTGACCTCTTTAGTGAACAAATAGGATGTGTTTTAGTACCTGTGTGTGGCGGGAGGGGATGCTGACGCTGGCAGGGAGTCCATTCCTTCTGTACATGCTCTCAGTCAGAAGAGAAGACTCAGATCACAGCCGACCTCAGCTGCTCACCGCCACACACGACCTCTCAGCCATCCCTGGAACACAACACACAAGCACACACATTACACCTTATTTGTGACTCTGGACCACAAAACCATGGGTACATTGAGATTGCTGAATAAATAAGCTTTCCATTGATGTATGGTTTGTTAGGATAGGACTATTATTACTAAATATTACTAGGTAATATTTGGCTGAGATACAGCTATTTGAAAATCTGGAATCTGAGGGTGCAAAAAAAAGAGAAAAAAATCTAAATATTGAGAAAATCGCCTTTAAAGTTGTCCAAATTAAGTTCTTATCAATGCATATTACTATTCAACAATTAAGTTTTGATATATTTACGGTAGGAAGTTTACAAAATATCTTCATGGAACGTGAGCTTTGCTTAATAACCTAATGATTTTTGTCATAATACATACAATGTATTTTTGGCTATTGCTACAAATATACCCGACCTACTTATGACTGGTTTTGTGGTCCAGGGTCACATTTTGTGTCCAAATTGGTGTATTTGGCAACTTAGAATTTTTTTTGTTTTATTAAGCGTATATAAATATAAATTATGACTTAAAATAAAATATTGTATTTTTATTATCCTCATTATTGTTTAACACACTGTGCTGCTGTATTTGGGATCTACTCATTCTGAGGAGTAATGCATAATATTGCCAGCAGAGGGAGGTCTTCACTATAAATGCAGCATCTCTCCCCTCAACATGACTCGCTGCTTTTGCCCTACATTCTGCCAGCCAGCCATTATTTGTTGAAATGAGCCATATTCATATCATAGCCATTTCATGAAAAGACCCTGCAGAGCATCTCTACTGTGTACTGTTCAATGAAATATTTCAGTCTGTATGGCCTAATTCTGTCCAGAACTAAAGTGCATGAGTAACAGAGGGAATAACTGCAGATTATTACCTTCAAAAATAGTGGAGCTTTAGGATCCACATTTTCAGTTTGATAGTAAATGGCCATCCAACATTTTCAAACATCGTTTACTGTACAATGTTAAATAAATATGTCCTTAAAATAAAACACTCAAATGTATTACTATTACCAAAAAAAGCACAGGGCCAGCAGTATTCTGAAATTAACAGAAACTAACATCATAGCCTGTTCAAATCAATGGGAGACTTGCAGATGTAGCTTATTATTTGTATTTTTTTATTTTTGCAATTTCCCAAGTACGACTCATCACCACAGGGTTATTAGTGGTGTTTAAAAAAAAAACATGCTTAAAATAAACGTTAACTAAAATAAAACCAAATTTAAACATATTTTCATTACTTGAAATAAAAAAACAAGCTTATTTCATTTCAGCTAAACAAGGCAACATTTCTCATTTACATTTAGTTTAACTCAGTGTGCTAAAATTAAAAATAAAAATAAAACTGAAATAAAAAATAAAAACTACATAGACATATAAAAAAACCCCGAATAAAATGACAAAACACACAAAATTGCTAAAACTTTAAAATGAATATATAAAAATAGAAACTATAATAGTATCTCAATGATAATAAAAGAACACTGTGCCACCCTTTGTGCTCATTAAGAGAGAAAATTATGTAAAGCAACAACAAACTAGAAGAGATGACCTCAGCATATTCAGCTCAAGTTATGAAAGAGCAGTTTCAGCAATGAGATATCAAGAAAAGGTGTTTGACAAACAGACAAGATGGGAAAAAGTTCCGGTGTAATGCAGAGCAGTTTCCATTAAGCGCTATTTGATATTGTAGATGGATGTAGCTAATGAAGCTCAAACATGAGGAAAAACATGAGCTTTAATATTACATTATCTAATGTAATTTTTTCTAAGTGGTCATATCATACATTTGTCTAATTTTATTTTCCCCGAGGTCTGTGTATAATGTTAGTCAATGTTTCTACACAAAAAAACAGTCATAATAAAAAAAATTCTTCGCCATGTCTACCTGAATAACTTAGAATTGTAAAACTTCACATAGTACATCAAATTTCAAAATGGTATTTCATTATATGACCCCATTAGCAAACATTTATTTGCACAACAACTAACTAATAACAATAATACTTGAATACAATATTTATAGATTTGCATACCCATTTTGTTTTTCCAGATCTTTCACATAGCTAATATCTGCATGGTAGGGTTGGTGAAGGCCATCCCAAGTGGCGGTTCTTTAGTAATTCTGAAAGAGAAAGAGAGATAACAGGAAGATATATGATCATTATGATCTCAATAAACTCTGACTTTATGATTAAAATACAAACAATTCATCAGGGTGTAGCTGTGCAGCAGACTCTACCACAAACTTTATCATTGGCAGATCATCAAGGTTGGTTGGTTTCCCAATTTTCACAATGATATATATATATAATATATTAGCTATAGAAAAAATTAGTAGAAAAAAGTGTATAGACAAATAGAATTGAGGTTTTTATGCTTCATGATTTATTACACAATTGTTAACATGGATGAAATGTTATTCTATACTGTTTCAAAGTTAAATATCCCAGCCAGAGGCGTGGATAAACTCACTGTTTACCTGAGAGCAGCAGCATGTAACTAGTGTAATCGAGTGTGAAGAATTCAGTCAATACTGTTAGCACTCATGTTTGCTGTCCACACAGGCATGACAGCATTTGTTTATTTGGCTGTATTTGTCTATATGGCTTGCTTTTGAATGCCTAAATAAAAGACTTTGATGCTCGCCAAGGCTGCATTTGTTTGAAATATTGTGAAACATTATTACAATTTAAAATAGCCAATTTCTAGATTAATATCCTGTGACAACAAAGCTGACTTTTCAGCAGCCATTACCCCAGTCTTCAGTGTCACATGATCCTTCAGAAATCATTCTAATATGCTGATTTGGTTCTCATGAATATTTCTTATCAATGCTGAAAACAATTGTGCTGTTTTAAAATCTATTGGAAACAGTGATCAGTGATACATATTTTCAGTATTCTTAGATGAATAGAAAGTTCAGAAGTTAGTGCTGTTAAGTTCCAATGCATCGTACCATATAGTAACCATAGACACAAACTGTAACTACAACATACAGTAACTAAAAAAGAAAACTTCAGCCAAACTGTAACATACAAAACATTGTGTTTGGTGGTACATTGCCCTACAGAGGTAACGCTTGATACAATAAACACTGAATTCAACACTACAGTAGATTTGTTTTGAACATGTGCTTACATTTTGCTTCAGGTAAGGCATGATGTAAATCAACCAGTTATTCTCATAAAACAAACCCTGACAAGAAGATTTGTACCTTGACATAAGGTACGGAGGAGTATTACATCACTCTGAAGGGGGTTTATTTTGAAAATGAAAAATTTTGAACATGTGCTTACATTTTGCTTCAGGTAAGGCATGATGTAAATCAACCAGTTATTCTCATAAAACAAACCCTGACAAGAAGATTTGTACCTTGACATAAGGTACGGAGGAGTATTACATCACTCTGAAGGGGGTTTATTTTGAAAATGAAAATGATAATGATTTTTATTATTTACTTACTTGAACTTGTCGAGTTGAAATTGTACTATTTCAATTATATTTGATTAGCTTTAAGCTTCTGCTTACCAAAAAGCCCATTCCCAGTAGCATCAGTCAGTTGCCATGGACAATGTGCAAATATATAATTTTTACCCCTCAATGTCACGTAAGTATAAGACTAAAATAATTAGAGCAAAGAATAATGGCGGTGTCTCTTTTTCTAAATTATTGGTCAAATGCTAGACGGTTTTAAATTAGTTTAGATAAGAAATGTAATTGCTGTGCTCTATATATTTCTCTGCAATTATTCCTCTAGATAACTGAATTTGACAGCTGTTTTTCACATAAACCATCATACTGCAAGCCAGTCTGACAAATACAATTAAAAATGTCAGATTCTGCCTGGCACTAGCGAAAATGTAATACTAAAACACAAATTCTGAATTCAAACAGATGATTCTAAATACAATGAGAGCGGATGAAAGCCCTAAAGTGTTTAAAGACAGCATGCGGGTTCCAGTAAAGATGGAGAATGAGCTGGGAGAGCAGACAGAGCATCGCCTCAAGGAAATGGGCGCCCGCTGTGAGGGGGAAACCTTAGAAGTAGAGTACTACTACGATACTGACAGCTTCCAACTGGCTTCTACACAGACCTGGTTGAATCAGCATAATGGCCAATGGGGACTGATCCTGGCAGAAGAACAGGAGCTTAATCACACTCAATCATACAACACCAAAAAGTTGGAAGCTGGACATTCTGAAGAAAAGAAAAGCAAAATACTCAACTCATAACATGAAGAAAAATCGGAAACAGGTGCTGCCTTTGGAGAAACATCTAACAATGAGTGTCCTGAGAAGGTCTTAGATACATCTCTGACATACACAGAACTCAGTGAGCCATGCTCCATCATGCTGCATCTCTCAAAGTGTATCCAGCTCCCTCTGACCCACACTGAAATGAAAAGTATGACCATGAAGAACTTCTTGAACTCGGCCCGGATCCAGATGTATGACAGCTGGACCAGGACCAGCAGAGTGAAGTACTCTCTGCCTGGTGGCTTCTCTCTGGTGGTGGAGAGAAACTACAGTATTCCCACTGAAACTGCTGCTGCATTTTTTATGATGAATGCTGATGTGCTGAGCATAAGCAGTGAGCTGGAAAAGATGGATCAGCTGTGTAAAGAACTAGGCCTAAAACCAAAGGCAAGCTCAGATGAACAATTATAAATAATTGTCGAAGCCTAGCAGTTAGCACATACTCTCTTGATACAAAAAGCTGTAGTGGTCATATGGACACCTCTTCATAAATACCCGTCCTGTTTTTTACTTCACAATTAATAAAAGAGCCAAAAATAAAACTCTCTCTTTTAAAAAAATATCTCAAACTGACATAAACTTATAAACAAACTTTATGGTAACTCTTTACAATAATTAGGTATCAAAACATTTTTGGGTAAACGTCTGGTAAACGCTACCACAAAAATATTTTTGTGTTTCCATTTGCTCAAATAGCAAAAGAAAAAAAAATACACGATAGCATTTCTATGACTTTCCAAAGGAGGAAAAAATATGGAGAGATTGATTACAGTGGTTAGAAGCAAGAAAGATGTCAAAATGTGACATCGCTCCCTCAGACTTGGTTAGAAACACCCAGACAGCAGCACTGATTAGATTTCTGAAATTTAATGTCAAGGTATTAATATAACACAAAGTATATTTTTTATAAATTTAACATATTTAAAATAATAATTTTATTTAAAAAATGCTAAATTTACAATAGTAATAAATGTGGAAACTTATCACAGTACGTGAAAAGGGTAATATAATATAATAATATAATATAATATTTACATTAAGATTTTGTCATTTAGCAGATGCTTTTATCCAAAGCGACTTACAAATGAGAACAATAGAAGCAATCAAAACTAACAAAAGAGCAACAATATGTAAGTGCAAATGACAAGTCTCGGTTAGCCTAATTAATAGTACACGTAATAAGAAAAACAAGTAGATAGAATAGAAAAAATAGAAAGCTAGTGTTTTTATGTTGTTGTTTATTTTTAAATAAAAAAAGAAGATAAACAGATAAAGTAGAATTAAAATATAATAGAAAGTGTTAGAGTTAGAGATGGAACAGATGTGTTTTTAGGCGTTTCTTGAAGATGGCTAAGGACTCAGCTGCTCGGATTGAGTTGGGCAGGTCATTCCACCAGGAGGGAACAGTTAATGAAAAAGTCTGTGAAAGTGATTTTGTGCCTCTTTGAGATGGCACAATAATGCATCGTTCACTTGCAGAACACAAGCTTCTAGAGGGCACATAACTCTGAAGTCTTTAATTTAGGTAAAGGGGTGCAGAGCCAGTGGTGGTTTTGTAGGCAAACATTATTGCCTTGAATTTTATGCGAGCAGCTACTGGTAGCCAGTGCAAATTGATGAACAATTTTATGAAAATGTGGTCTGAGAAATTCAGCTTATTATCAATCACAACTCCAAGGTTTCTAGCTGTTTTTGAAGGAGTTATGGTTGATGATAGGTTTGTTGAAACCACAAGCAGTTCTGTCTTAGCCAGGTTGAGTTGAAGGTGATGGTCCTTCATCCAACAAGAAATGTCTGTTAGACAAGCTGAGATGCGAGCAGCTATCGTCGGATCATCAGGATGGAATGAGAGGTAGAGTTGAGTGTCATCAGCATAGCAGTGATATGAAAAGTGATGTTTCTGAATGATAGAACCTAGTGATGCCAGAAGAGAAGTGGTCCAAGAACTGAGCCCTGAGGCACCCCAGTAGCAAGATGTTGCGATGTTGCGACTTTTGTTGTGATAGTATGTCCTTTTAGCAGTGGAGACATTAGCAGAGAATGAAGAGAGGAGTGATCGATATACATTAAGTTTTAAGGATTTTGTGATTTGCGTCATACTCTTTCTGCAGCTCTGCGCTTACAACGATGCTCACGGAGAACATCAGATTCTCCCAAGGGGCAGAAGAGGTGGTACGAGCTGGCCTGGAAGACAAGGGGCAGACAGTGAGAGTGGAGCAGAAAGTATCAGTAGCACTGTTAACATCAAGAGATGATAACTGTTCAGGGGAAGGAAGCGAAGATGAAACCATAGCAGATAGCCAGTAGGGTGAGAGTGAGGTTACGTCAAAAAGTGACATGTGGAGGGGTATGTCTTGTGTCAGGAACCATGTTGAGGTTAAGAGTGAGGAGGAAGTGATCCGAGGCGAGGTATGCAGTGGAGTAACCAGTACATGATCAGTGGAGCAGTGTCGTGTGTAAATAATGTCCAGTTGGTTGCCTGATTTGTGAGTAGCCATAGTTAACACTCTCTTGAGATCAAAAGAGGCAAGCAGAGTGTGGAAGTCTGCAGCCTGAGGTTTATCTAGGTGGGTGTTGAAGTCTCCAAGCATAACTAGGGGAGTACCATCCTCAGGAAAGTTTGAAAGCAGCACATCTAATTCATCCAAGAATTTACCTTGTGGTCCTGGGGGTCGATAAACAACTATAAAATTGATTTTAAGAGGGTGGGTAATAGTGGCTGAATGTGATTCAATGGAGCTGTTGATACTCAGAGGTGGTAAAGGAATAAATGTCCAATCATTAGAGATAAGCAGACCAGTACCTCCACCTCTTCCAGTCAGATGGGGAGAAAAAGAGAAATTATTGGAGAGTGCTGGAGGTGTAGCAGTGTCCTCTGGTTTGATCCACGTCTCTGTCCGCTTTTTGCAGTTTTAATATCTGAAATGGTTCTTTCTAACAATTTTGTTCCCTAAAGACTCACAGCTGTGATTTTGCCCCATTTCATCTAAGATACAGATTTAGCTGAAGCACTTGCTGCTGAGACACTACAGCTATAGTTACTATGGCAACTGGGAGCAGAAATGTGTTCATATTTTTTAATATTATACACATGAGGGCAGAGCAGTCTGCAGGCAACAATCTGCCACATTGGATGTCTGACATGTTCAACATTGGCAATGTTTCTTGTCCCTGACTACAGAGAACCCGCTGCATTGTACATCTCTCTTTTTCTGTGTATGGAATCTCAACAATACAACATTTATTTCATTTGACAGATACTTTTATCTAAAGTGACTTACAGTGCATTCAGGTTATGTTTGATCAATATCTGTTGTTCCCTGGGAACTGAACCCATGACCTTGTCATTGCTAATACTCTACCATTCGAGCTCCAGGAACTCTAAGGTCTCAAACAAACAGAAAACACAGGTTGCTCCTGAAACAATAACATATTTTCTCATCAGCACTTGCAGCAGACAGCAGAATTCACGGAGGCGTAACACACAACAAAACAACACAATATAATGTAACAGATTCTCCACCCTAGCACACACTTGAAAGTTTGCCATCAACACTAAACGTTGAATACAGGAGCACTAATCAGCAACTGAGAAACATAATGTGGAGGATAAGAAAGAACACATCAGTGATCACTATGTTAAATATACTAAAAGTAAAAGAACTTCACTGGTAAATTACACAACACAGTCACACCACTATATGATGAGAAGATAACATTTTCAATGTTGTTAAATAAGTAAAAATAAGTAAAGGGGAGGGATGTAACTGCAATAAATAAATAAGAGATGCCAAAGAAACTAAAGGCAAAGAAAAAACAGGTCTGCAAGCTCTGCAGTTGTAAATTTGACTTATGTTTTAATGTCACTTAAAACCATTAAACATTACATTTAACAGGTAAGTCGTTTTTGAGTGTTTTTTGAATTATTCATATTTATAACAATATATATTAATCAGTTTCATAAGTATACACTGTATGAGTGAACATTAACTACAGATTTGTAGTATTATTAAATGCAATGAAGTTATACATGCTAATAATAAAATTAAAAACCTGCATAAAAACCTACAGGACAAACTGTGTCTTTGAACCATCAATATAACTTTACAAATTATATTTACAACTATTTGTACAACTTGGAATAAAGAATTGGATGGCTACTTTGTACTATTGACAAACAGAATCATTTCTGTAGTGTAGAGGCTCCTAACCATGAGGCCGGGGCCCACTATAGCTAATTTTCAATGGGGGCACAGTTGTTGTTGTACAGTATTTAAATTTAT